AGAAAAACAAAAAAAAAAAAAAAAATTTTTTTTTAAATTAAAATATCATACTTGCATGGTGGCATATACCTGAAATCCCAGCTACTTGTGAGGCGGAGTCAGGAGGATTCCAAGTTCAAAGCCAGTCAGGGCAACTTAGTGAGACCCTGTTTAAAAAAAAAAAAGAAAAAAACTGGGGATACATCTGTAGCTCAGTAGCAGAGCACTTGCCAACCACATGTGAGACTCTGGCTTCAATCCCATTACTACCCCCAAAAAATTATTTTAATAATATCAGTAATTCTAAATTCTGAAGACCATTTTCTACATCTGCTTTTGCTTCATAGATCTTCAGATCCCTACCTGTTGGCTATAACATCTCTAAGCAAGTCCTCGACCAGTATCTTACTCTGCTTGCAGATGACCCAGTAAGTCTGTTTTACTGAAGTTTTTTCCCTGCTGTTTACAGTTTACTTCTGCCTAATATCAGTCTTGTATTGCCTCATTCTCTACCAAGCCAGTTCAGTTTTCTTACCATCATCTGATAGGAGGGTTACATGCTGCAGACACTTGACAGATTCACTCCATTGGAAACAGAATCACTGGACTTCTCATGTAGTTAATGTTGTCTCTCTTTCTTTTTAATAGCTAGAGTTTGTTGGAAAGTCTGGCGACAGTGGTGGAGGAATGTTTGTCATCAGTATCCTTACTTTATTCTGACTATATCCTTACAGTCAGGCAGCCTGAGCCATGAAGCAAAATGGCGTCTTACGAAATAAAGATTTGGTAATAATATACTAAGTCACAACATGGAAGAAATTTCCCATTAATGTTTCTATGAAAAAAAAGCTTCCTGAATGTTCAATAAATTACATTAATGGTAAAGAAGTAAAGACTTTTAATCAACCAGAAATACCTTTACTTAATAATCCTCATGAATTAAAATTTTAAGATATTTATATACCATAAATTAATGTGAAAAATGAAATAACATTTAAAGTTTAATGAGAAATTAGGAATTTAAGAATAAAACTAAGGTCAGAGCAGTCAGGCCAAAATATTACTAAATGACCTTAATCTTCTACATAAAGACTTCTATAAGGCATTAGCATCGCTAGCCACAGCCACTCTGGAGTCTGTCATACAGGAGAGGTAAGGGGGTCCTTTGGATTGGGATTAGGGTCAGATGCTTCCTATCCATACCCTGTTTGATTCTTGTGTAAGCAACCAATACAGGCACACCGTGGCATACTTTGCCCCATTTTTCCACTGGGCAGCTATGGATCCCATCTACTACTACTCTTCCCTCTAAAAAACCCTACTGCTCAATTCCCACTGATGCAAATTAGTGAGCCTCCCTAAAACCTTAGACTGCAAGAACTATGGCAGTCAAGTGAGTCAGCAGTTAATGGCTACCTTGTGATTAATAATAATGTCACCAGATTGTGGGGCTTAGAGAGTTCTCTGGTTACTGTTCCTTTCTGATCCTGGCTCCACACATGGACAGCCTTCCCGTGGGACAAACAGCTAAAGCTAATCTATGTTGGCATGCCACTTACTGTCTCCATTCCTTTCCAGATTTGGATCTCGGTGTGCCAGAATATTCCGTCTGGTTTTGCAAAAGAAACACCTAGAACAGAAGCAAGTGGAGGACTTTGCAATGATTCCTGCAAAGGAGGCAAAGGATATGCTATATAAGATGCTGTCAGAAAATTTCATATCACTCCAGGTAACCAGTGGTATATAATTGCCAACCAGCAAAACTGTAGAGAGAAGCTCCTGAGCAGATATTCTGAGTCCTCAGGCAAACTCTTATGTGGCTATGAAATGGAAAGAATTATTAACAAAGACATAGCAAGCACTTGAGGGGAAATGTGGAGCTCTAACAGGCCTGTAAGAAATAGAGACAGCCAAGAAATTGCTTCAAAGCCATCCTGCCCCTTATTCCCTATCATCCTGTCCTTTCCTCAAGATCTTAAAATCTGTGCTATCTATTAATAGCCCCTGCTGGGTCCTAGCAGCTCCATGTAGTAGGTCGGCCCTGTAAGGAAGGAGGTAGAATGGATTATGAAGTCAGATCATAGCTCTGTCTCTTACCTAGTTACATTGAGCAAGTTATTTTTCCCCTGTATAAAATGGTGCTAGGCCTGGATGTGGTGGTGTACACCTGTAATCCTAGCACTCGGGAGTCTGAGGCAGGAGGATCGCCGTGAGCTTGAGGCCAACATAAGCAGGTTCAAAGCAAGCCTGCACTACACAGTGAAACCCTGTCTCAAAAACAAACAAACAAAAAAAAAAAAAATGGTGATAGGTGGAGATAATAATAATATACTGTAGTTTGTTGTAACAATCAAATACAATCCACCTGTCACATGGAGTTTTCTCATTAAATATTAGTTGCCTTCCCTTTCTCACTAGGAATGTTGATTGTCAAATGGAAAAAAAAGGGCAGCCCAGTCTTTACGTAACTAATTATGCCTTAAATCCAGTGACTGAATGACTAGAGAAGAGGAAAGTATTAGTGAAAGAGAGGTGAATGTGATGGAGGTTTATGTTGCCAATTCTTAAGAGCATTGAAATTTCCCTTTTCTTTCTATGGAAAATAGGAAATTCCAAAAACACCGGACCATGCCCCGTCCAGGACCTTCTATTTATATACTGTGAATATCCTATCAGCTGCACGAATGTTGCTGCACAGGTGCTACAAGGTAACCCATGTAGACCCTCGCCCCGTTTCTTCCACCCAGAGGGCTCTCTCCCACATTCCTCCTTTACCTATTGTACCCGAGCTGCTAAAATACGACTGCATTTCTAGTCTTTCTTCTCTTTCCTCAGAGTGTAACCAACTTAATAGAAAGGCGGCAATTTGAAACCAAAGAAAACAAGTAAGTAGCATTTTCAGTTGAATCATTCAGATTTTTCAAGTTCAAGGGCCTGAGGGGAAATTTTCTATAGAAATGAAGAGTGCTAGGATTACAGGTATGTACCACCACACCTGGGCCCCTGAAGACAGTCTCCTAAAAACCAGTCTAGTTCCATTGAATTATCGTTTCCAGCTGGCATAAATCATGCATTAATCTATACTTTTCCAATATACCCCTAATGAAACAATTTTGCAGATTAAATTTATAAGAAAAGTACAAACACTCCAAACTCAGGAATTGTTATATTCCCAATTAAATTTATAGAAAATGTCTTTAGACAATGATATACTCCACCTTGACCAGAAATATGGTAATAGGGGAAATTGTGTCTCAGATAAAGGGTAAGAGGATCTTAAAAGTAGGGAACATGCCTTAAAAGTAGGGAACATGTGTTTGTCTGATAGGCGTCTACTCGAAAAGTCTCAGAGGGTAGAAGCCATCATTGCATCTGTGCAGGCCACAGGTGCAGAGGAAGCACAGTTGCAAGAAATAGAGGAGATGATCACAGCCCCTGAGCGGCAGCAGCTAGAGACCCTGAAGCGTAATGTCAACAAGTAAGCTTAATTTGAGCCCTATATTTCAAAATACCTTCCAGCCAAGTCCCTCTCAACATTCTGCCACCTCTCCAACCAACACAAGAGAACCTAAACTCCCTGTCTTCTTTCCCAGTTCACTCAAACAATTTAATCCACCTGTTTTTCTAAACCAGCAATGCTGCAGACATCCTGAGCTGCTTCTCTGCACTGGTACTGTTTTCACCAGGCATTCTGAATTTTACTTCAGTAGTGCTTCTCAAATCTGCTTTTCATCTTGGCTCCCATACAGGCCTTCATCACGTTTCCTAGACCTTCACAGTGACCGCCCCCAAAACCACCTCAGAATGCTTGCAAAAGTACTATCTTTAAAATGACTGAAGACATCACTCTCCTACTTCAGATGATTTATTAATTCCTTACGCGTACAGCAGGAAGACCAGACTTACCGGCGTGACAGACAGAGCCTTTCACAATCTTCCGGCAGCCTGTCTCTGTCTTCACCTCCTCTCATTCCTTACCACTCACCTTAATAGGGACTGCATTCAATCTGTCAATTGCTTCAGAGAATACTGCCAACTTCACAGTCTTCCAGCCTATGAATAAGAGAGGTCTTTCCATTTATTTATGTCTTTAATTTCTTTCAGCAATATTTTACTGCTTTCTTGTACTAGCCTTGCAACTTTTTTGTTAAATTTATTTTTTTAAATAAGTGTTTCCTTCATTTTTAGGTCATTCATTGCTAGTGTACTGAAAAAACAGATTTTTTTGCATTTTGGTGCAGCTTTGCTTATTTGTTCATTCTAGTAGTTGGGGGGATTCTCTGTGAGGAGAAAATAAATTTTATTTTAAAGAGAAAAAAACAAAAACAAACGCAAAAACAAAACAACAAAAAACCATAAAAACGATACAGAATTTCAAAACAAGGTGATAGGAAATTAACAATGGTTGTTATATTACATATTGTTATCTGATTGTGTCATCTTTAGACAGAGAAAGCTTTACAGCTTCCTTTACAACCTAGATGCCTTTTCTTGCCGGGCTGCCCTAGCTAGATACAACCTCCAGTAGAAGGCTGAGTGGAAAGAACAGACAACGCTGTCTCACAAATCTCCCAGTCTTTTACCATCAAGTCTGATGTTAGCTGTGGTCTTTTCTGAAATAGCATTTATCAGCTTGAAGACATTCCCTTCTCCTCCTAAGGACCATTAACTTTAAACCTCACCCTCAGCTTCTCACAGTTTTAAAACACACTAAGTCCTTTCACCAGTGTCTTTACATGGACTGTCCTTCCTCCTAGTTGAAGTTATACTGTAACCTCCCCCAGGACAGAGGCCCTGTCTTCTGCATCCTCAGCAGCTTCTGCCGTGCCTAGCACACAAAAGATGCTCAGTAATGGGAAAATGAGCCACTGGTTCTCCTGCTTCCAACCCATTCATTACTCAAGAATAACCAAGCAACTCTCAGTGGCCACACCCACCCCAACCTCTAATCTTTTTCTTTTTTTTCTTTTCTTTTTGGTCTTTTTGAGACAGGGTTTCACTATGTAGTTCAGGCTGGCCTTGAACTCACTTTGTAGGTCAGGCTGGCCTCAAACTTGAAGCAGTCCTCCTGCTTCAGCCTCCTGAGTGCTGGGGTTGCAGGCGTGTGCCACCACGCCTGGCCTCAAACTCTAATCTTAAATACACTGATGATTCAGTCTACTCTGGGCAAATGCTTTCACTTTTTCAGGTTGGATGCCAGTGAAATCCAGGTAGATGAAACCATCTTCCTGCTGGAGTCATACATTGAGAGCACCATGAAGAGACAATGACCCAGAAGAAGCATCTTCCTCAGAGGACCTGGGGGGATGGAAAGAACATGGCAGTGCCTAGGTATATGCTGTGCAGTAGAAGTTGCAGGTTCTTGTTGGGAAACCCTCCCTCTTTCCTTACTGCTCAAATCCACCTGAGAGTTTGGAAGGGCATGGTGGTAATGCCTATAATTGCAGCACTCTAGAAGGCTGTGGCAGGAGGATCACAAGTTCGAGCCCCATGGACAACTTACTGACCTAATGAGACCCTGTCTCAAAGTAAAAGATAAAAAGGATTAAAAAAAAAAAAGCTGGGGATGTAGCTCAGTGTAAAAGCCTTTTGTTCAATCTCTAGTACCACCAAGAAAAGAAAGAAAAAAATTTGACTCTTTTGGCGGAGGGGCAGAACTTGAGATTCACTGCTCTACCACTAAGCTGTATTCACAGCCTCTTTTTTTTTTTTCTTTTTTTTTTAAGATAAGGCTCACTGTCTATGTACTCCAAGCTGGCCTGGAACTTGCTATGTAGGCCAGGCTACTCTTGATATCGCTATGCTCCTGCCTTAGCCTCCCTAGTGCTGAGATTCCAGGTATGCACAACTATGCCCAGCTCTTTTTATTTGAAGACCGAGGTCTTGGTAAATTGTGCTGGCCTCACACTTGGAGTTCTCTTGCCTCAGCATCACATGTAGCTGAGATTAAGAATCTAATATATTTATTTTAAGCTTGTTAATTCTGGCTTAGGCCCATCTCTATAGAGTATTCTTCTCTCATCAAATTGTGGCAATGGGAAGAACCTTAAATCGATTAGATTAATCACCTATCAGATGCATCTCTTCTCCTCAGGGAGTCAGCCAGCCTTCCTTGGAACTTCCCTCCCAGTAGGAAACTGGTTCTTGAGCCGTCAGTTCCATTTTCAAAAGTCTATGTCTCTACTTTGCTGAGCTGTGGTGTTTTTAACACATACACTCACACAGTGTGAGAAATGCGGAAGGCTACCATGGAGCAGGGAGAAACCGATTTTCAGGAGTAGGAGGGGGACTGGCTAAGCAGTCACACTAGAATCTGGATAGAAGACATTTGCCAGCTCCAGGCTTCTAGCACATCTGAAATCATGTATGTAGAATATTTAACACAATGCCTGGCATGTGATAAGCACACAATGAATTATTACTTATCTCCACTATTGCCTTAAGAATGGCAACTCCAGATTTTTTTTCAGTATCATGGATATAAATTTTCTTAGCAAGTTCAATTCATTTAAAGCAGTTAGGTGTTGTTTATAATCCCTTCTTACCAAATTTGTTGTAATTCTTTATAAACACTTGAGTGTCAAGTAATTGTCACCACACTGAAGCACAATATACAAAATAAGTGAGAGACCATCTCTACCCTTAAGCCGCTTGCCATCATTGACTTAGGACCTATTATGTACCAAGTACTGTGCCAGGCCAAAGTGATCCAAAGGTGAATATGCCTTGAGCATATAGCCCAGAGGAAGACTGAAGTACAGGGAAGTATTGTGCAGCCATAGTGGAAGAGTAAGTACTAGGTACAGAGAGGCAGGAAAGAAAAAGGGTCAGGGAGGAAAGGAATAGGAGTGCCACTCTGAGCTGTGCATGATGGCTCAGACCTCTAATCCCAACACTGTAGAAGCTGAGGCAGGAGGATCATGAGTTCAAGGCCAGCTTGAATTACTTATTGAGACCCTTTCTAAAAAATGACAACCTGCAATTTGAAAAATGAGGATTTTTGAGGGGAAAGGGGAAAAGAATCCCAGAGGGGAGCAGTCTGATTCTTGGGACAACTATAAACAGTGCTCAAGTAAAAAACAGGATAAAGGCTCTTCTAGGAATTGAAGCTAGGTAAACAGACAGCAAGGCTTTGGCCACATTGTGCTAAGGAGATTACCTTATTCTAAGAGCAGTGAGGGGCCAGAGATATAGCTCAGCAGCACAGCACCTGGCTGGCAAGTGCAAGGTCTCGAGTTCAATTCCTGGTACCAAAAAAAAAAAGAACAAAAAAGAGCAGTGAGGAGCACTGTGACAGGCAGAATCTGCAAAGGCAGAATAGATATATTAAATCACTCTGGCAGTGCTTCCCTGATTTGGCAGGGGCAGGGCTATTGAGACTTACAAACATGAGAAATCCTTGAACTAGAGCAATGGAGACTAAAATCAAGCAGGATTTGAGAAAGTTTAAGGTTATGTCTTCAACAGTTGTTTGTCTTTTGAGATGAAAAAGGCATGGTGTATTGGATTAACTAATAGCTTGCAACCCCCCCGCTGAACTGAATCAGCGTGGTGCCGGGTGTGGAAGGCCCACCTGAGGATTGTTGCCAACAGCATAAAAGCAGAACTGGAGGGAAAGTGGTGTGCTGTTGTCCTGAAGAAGCTTGTCCTGCTGGTTTTTCGCATATGAACTTAGCAGTTCTCATCATTGGATCCTCGCTGTCACTGAAGATGGCTGCAGTTGTTTTCCGGGGACCTCTGGTCCTTACTTTGAGTGTCGCTTCCTGGCTCCAGTGCAGATCCCTCAGCCTGCGGGCACAGACCCTCCATCCCACTGGTGCAGACTTTCTAGCCTCCACCACTGACCTTTGGCCTTCCCAGTGCAGATCCTTGATACAGACTTACATGAGACATTGTCATGGGCCCTAGGCCCCAGCTGGACTCGTGGAGGACATTGCCACACACGCTGTGTATTCAGCTGGACCCATGCAGGACATTGCCATGGGATCCAGGCCCTTTGCTGGATTCTTTGGGTCTCTCGTGTGTGGACAGATCTCCTGGGCTCTTCTGCATTGACTTTTGGGTGACTATTATAAAATAATCCTATAAATTATGTGTCCTGTATTAAATCTATTCCCTCGCAAACCCAGACTACAACACAGCATCAAGGGTGTCTTTTGGATGTGTGGCCCGGAGACGTGCAATTAACCAATTACTGCTCTGCAGTAAGAGGCATGCAGAGCACTGTGCTGACAATTACGGTTCAGCCCAGAGCTGGTGGAAGGTGACACTGAGTCAGAATCATTCGGTCCAGGGGCCGCTGTCATAACTAGAGAGGACGGAAGAATGAAGAGCTGCGAATTTAGAGGCGCTCTCTCTATTAACGTTACACTCGGGTCGACCTCAAGTTACACCCACATCTCCCTGACCTTCAAGAAACTGGCTTCCCCGCAGCCCGCGGGAAGCCCGGAGGGGAGGCGTAGCTGCGCCGCCAGGGGGCGCCGCGCAGCCGCAGAGGCCACCGAGCCGCAATGGCGGCGCCGCGGGTGCTGCTGCTCCTGTCCGGCCGCCCGGAGTCGGTGAGCTTCGCTCAGAGTGTGTGTGGCCTCCTCGGCGCCGGGCCGGGACTCGGGCCATGGCCCACGCACTGTAGCTTGAAGCGCGGACAGCTCATCCTCTCGGATAGGCCCTTCCCAGAGGCCTCGACCAGGCTTCCGATCCAGGTCGGAGCGGGGCACCGAGGGGAGGCGAGGGGCCCAAGATGCAGATGGGGTGGGCGGGGCTGTGGGGAGAGGCGGACGCGTCCTCCACGAGGCGGGCTCCCCAGTTTGAAAGCTCCGCCTAGGGGCTTGCGTCCCACCTCGGAAGCCCTACTAAAACCAGGCGTCTCCCTCTTGCCAGCGACCCTCTTTCTGCCCTTTTGCGGCCCTGGCCCTGCAGCCCTTGGCCCCCAAGGCCAAGCAACCCCTGAATCGAGGTGTGGATCTGGGTGTGGCCGTCCTTCTACAGTCCAGCGACCAGACTGTCTTGTTGACTCGAAGGACACGCACTCTCAGAATTTCCCCCAACCTCTGGGTACCCCCAGGTGAGTGCTCAGGGTACAAGGCCCCAAGGCTAGGGAAGAAAGTTGCTGCTCCTCCTTGCCAGTCACAAAAAGAAAAGAGAAGCAGGCCCACAGCTGTGACAACCACAATTACAAGGGGCTGCAGCGGTCCACCCGGGGGGCGGGGCGCAGTAGCGGAGGTTCCTGGTGAAGACGGCTACCGTTCACTTGCTGGTCCCACTCCTGTTGCAGGTGGGCATGTGGAGCTCGATGAGGAGGTACCTATCAGCTGACCCGACCTGTGCCCCACTACATCTGGAACCACTGGATATGGGCTAGGGCAGGGTGAACAGACTTGGGGAGTCCAGCACTGGCCACCCTGACCTGTCCTCTCTGACTCCCAGTTGCTGGACGGAGGTCTTCGAGAGCTGTGGGAGGAAAGTGGACTACAGCTGCCCAAGGACCGGTTCTCCTGGGTCCCTCTGGGATTATGGGAGGTGAGATGGGCCTGGGAGGGGGACCCTCCGTGTTTACCAAGAAACCTCAACAGCTACCTCGAGTCTATGCAACAGCCCCAACCTGCCTTGGCCACTAGGGAAACCAGAGGCGGACTGGAGGGTAAAGGCATGATGGCCCTCACCCGTCTACCATCTACTGCCTGTTTCTAGCCAGGTTTTCTCTTTCGTTTTCTTTTTAGTCTGCCTACCCACCTAGGCTGAGCTGGGGTTTCCCCAAATACCATCACATCGTTCTCTATCTACTTGTGATCTCCCAGGAGTCACAGCAACAGCTGCAAGTAGGCCTGGCAGGGAAGAAAACACGACTCAAGGGAGCCCAAGCAACCTGGTTCTGACTGACTAACGGAAGGGGGAGGGGCTAAGATAACCAAGGATACCCAATACCCTCTCTCTCTGCCCTACCCCATGTTGCCCCATTCATGGTAAGTGGTCTGTGATCAAAAACAGGCCTCCTAGGGAGACCGCATGACTGAAGGATCAACATGTCTAATCCCAGGCCCAGATCCAACCAAATCCAGGTGAGGTGAATGCCCTTATGTGGCTGAGACCAGATGTAGCGGCCGCAGTGGCTGCTACAGAGGATGGGACAGAAACAGCTGGCTTTCTCCACCAGAACCTACCACCCTCTGTCCCGTAAGTACAAGCTTCTTCCTTAGGCTCCAACATACCAGCACATATGCACTGAGTTCATTCTCTTCAAAATTTTGGATTTGGGGGTGGACTTAGGGCATGAGTTGGTCCACTGATAAATTCAGAGACCATATGAGATCAAAGGTACTGACGAAGAGTTCTTATTCCAACTGGCTAGTGTTGAAGACCTAGGTTTGACTTCAGCCTTCCACAGGTACAAGCCATTTAACTCTTCTTCAACCTGTTTCCTTTCTGTAAAATGAAGTTAATGCCCACCCACCTACCTCCTACTGTGGTTAGGATTAAATCACCTAGCATATGGAAGTTCTTTGCAAACTATAAGCACAACCCAGACAGGAACTGTCATAATGCAGTGCAATACAACTAGAAGAGGACGGAGGAGCCCGACCTGTGCTTCTGCCCATGTCCACGCTGCTGCAGACAACGCCAACCACAGCAGAGGACAAAGAGAGGGTCAGCACTGGAACCAAGTTTGCTCTCAGGCTCTGGCTGCAATATCTGGGCAGATAAAGGTGAGCAGCAACTTACAGGTCCTACAACACTGAGCTGGAATTGTCTGGTGCACTTATGGCCACAGAGGAGAAGAGGGGAGGAAGAACTGCTCTTGGAAATCCCTGTATAATATCCCCTCCAGATGACAGTGGAGTTTACCTGGACCCGAAGCTGGCAAAGGATGGACATGGACCTTCTTGTCCCAGACCAGGAGTCTGGAAAGTAAAGTGCATCACCCCTCCCCAGCTCACCTCCATGACACAGAACATTCACAACCTTTATTGTGGGTGAGAACTTTGCTACAGCTTTGGGAATAAAAAGTAAAATTACAACGTAAGTCCCAGGCCCTGGAGAAGCCTGAAAAAAAAAACAAAAAACATTGGGAAGGAGGGCACAGGGGTCCTCCCCCCACCCAGGAAAGGTGCAGAATGAGCCAGGCCTAAGCACAGGGCCGTAGGTCTCTAGAAACTTGGTCCTGGGCTGATTGGCATTAAGAAACATTGTGAACTTAAATATATATAAATAGAGAGAGCCCTGGGCAATAGGCCAGGCCCTCCCCACTTTCAAATCCCTGGAGATCACGACTAAGGCCTTATCTTCTCAGTTGTACTGGGAAGTAGGAGGCAAGGGAAGTCATCTTTGGAGTGTTTTGGTTTTTCTTGTTTATGCACACAAAAAAGATCTGCAACCCAAAACACAGATCTCTGTCCACCTCTGCAACTGCCTGTCTTGGTTTTGCCACCTGTCTGTGGCCAAAGGGAATGGAAAACATGAAAAGAATGGATGTTTGGGTTTGGGGGATGCGAAGAGGAGCATCTTAGAGACATGAGGAGAAACCCTTCCCCCAGAAGACTCTAGCTATAGTGAAGGCTGATGATTCAGCCCATCCCCCCAACTTACATCCCATCCCATTTGCCTCCCACTGCCTGGGTTAACAAATATACCCAAAGGATGTGCTACCATCCAAAGAACACTTCCAAAAGTAGACCCCAGTGTCCTTTAAAAGGGGTTAAATATTAACCCTTTGGGTGCTGGCCTTGTTAGGCAGTTGAGGCCAAAAGTGATGTCCATGAAGACCTGTCTGGCCTTTGGCCGAAACCCCCTGACAGATCAGAGTAGCCAGGGCTTGGGACACCACAGCATACTTGCTCAGTGTTGAGGGACAGTGAAGGTTTCATAAATCAAGGAATTTAGTCCAGGGAAATGATGTCTGACCGACAGCCAGTCAAAGCGGGACCGGAAGGCAGGGGTCCTCCATGGCCCTCCCTCAAGGCCCCTCCAGGAGCCACAATGCTGCTGACTCGGCCAGGGGTGGGTGCTGGAGTGGAGCTGCGGTGCGAGCTCCCCAAGGTGGGGGCCAGAGGGCCCAGGAAGTGGGAAGGGGTCCCTCGGTACTGGAAGAAATGGCCAAGGGCATCCTGTTCATCTAGCGAGGTGATGACGGAAGGACCATAGTGCTGGGAAGAATCAAAGACATAGATTAAGATTTTACTCTGACTTACCTTCCGTCACTCATCGTAGGAACATTTTATGGGATAAGGTAACCCCTGTGAGTCTCAAGGAATTCTCAAGAAGCAGGAGGATCTATCTGACTACCCTACTTCCCCACACCCTTCCTCTCTGCCCACTTGGAGGTAGCCCCTCCAGCTCACTAAGTTCTTGGCCTTGTGGGCATCTGTAGTGTGTGGACTGTCCAGCTGACGGACGCAGGCATTGTGCTCTAAGTGCCCATGGTATGCAGGGGTGAGCAGGCAGGGAGACAACTACATTAAAAACTTGACAGAAACAGGGGATCTAGGGAGACATAGGGAGGGAGGGAGGCATGCCATCAGTGCCTAGAAGGGAAGCTTCAGAGATCTCAGATCTTCGTGGGAAGGGAAGGGACCACTTACCTGACTCTCAGTCTGAAGAAAAGAAAATAAATCCAAACCTGGTAAGAAAAGAAAAATCAAAATCAACTTCCTATAAAAAGTTCCCTTCCAGCCAGTGTGGTGGCACACACCTGTAATTCCAGCACTTGGAAGGCTGAGGCAAGAAGGTTGCCATGAGTTTGAAGCCAGCCTGAACTACATGGTGAGACCCTATCTCAAAAAAATTATTCCCTTCCAAGAGATCCAGGTGGCTTTGAAAAGGAGTCGGGGTTCTATGGAGGGTGTAGTGGTACAGAACCCCACCTTAGGATCTGTGTCATACCTTGGATGTCCGACCCCAGTGGGAAGGCAGGTGGGTACTCATGTAGTGGGAGGCTGGACAGAAAATCACTGCCCAGTGTGCCCATCACAGGGCTCCGCAGCACCGAGGATGGCTGGTGACTAGATGCCAGGACTCTGTGAATAGAAAAGAGATGGGGCAAACCACAGATGGCCACACCCAGTTCAGCTTCCCAAGTTGGCTTCCTGTCCTCTCCACCTTTCCCTTTCCCTAGGAGGGTTTGCCCAATGATCAGAAAGCATTCCTTATGGCTTCCCCCTTTTTGCTGTGGATTCTGCCTTTTTCTTACCCTTTGCTTCCAGGTAAGGCTGGGATGGTAGCTGAGGTAACAGGACAGTGCTTCTTGGTTGGGGGCAGATCCTCCTCATCAGATGAGCTTTCTATTGTCAAGTCAATAACTTCAACCTTTTTCTTATTCTCTGATAGACTTCCCTCTTGGACTGGGCTATACTGGAGGCCTGTGGGTGGTAAGAAGAATATGTCTGAGAAAAAGGCTCATTCAAGATTTAGCTCAGCTAGGGGACAGAGGGTCACTCACCGTCCAGCCCATACCCTGGCGGGGGGCAAACCTCAGATGCCTCCTTTTTGGGTTTCATCGGGCACCAGGATCCATCTTCCATAAACTGGATCTCATCACAGTCCGAACAGGAATTAAGAATCTCCATGAATAAACTATGGGAGGGGAAAGATGGGAATTCAGGAGGGTAGGACATGGCTGGAACACCAGTTATGGTTCTGTGACTCACCTTTCTGTACCTCAGTTTCTTTATCTGTAAAATAGGGCTATTAGCCACCCTACTATGCCTCTACGAGTTGTTAGCCTTGCAACAAAGTGAAGCAAAGTATGTAAAAGAGCTTTACGAACTTTGGGTGTTAGGTTTTTAAATAAATGTAATCTGAGCATGTTCAGTGTAGTTCTAGCAACAAAACAGAATTCCATAAACCATCTCAAAAACCATGACATGATGGTGCACACCTATAATCCCAGCCCTTGGGAGGCTGATGATAGAAAGATCACTGGAAGTTTGAGGCCAGCCTGGGCTACATAGTGAGTTCAAGGCCAGACTGAACTACAAAGGGAGACAGTAAATAAAAAAAAAGACACTGTGAGCAAGAGCCATAATGAAGGCTCTGGAAGGGACTTAAAACCAGCTGGGAAAAAGAAATTCTTGCTTATGGAAAATAAAATGCTTGGCCGGGAGCAAAGAGCTTAGCAAATCCAGTCCTCAAAAGAACCCTGTTACTGTGCTCAAGGGCTCAGGGTGTGGCTTAGTGGTAAAGCACTCACCTAGCATGAGGCCATAGGTTCAACCCCCACTACCGCATAAAACAAAATTATGGTTAGTAGGAGGTGTGTGTAGTAGCAGGTGGGTGTAGTAGGAGGTGGGTGTAGTAGGAGGTGGAGGTGGGTGTAGTAGGAGGTGGAGGTGGGTGTAGTAGGAGGTGGGTGTAGTAGGAGGTGGGTATAGTAGGAGGTGGAGGTGGGTGTAGTAGGAGGTGGGTGCAGTAGGAGGTGGGTGCAGCAGGAGGTGGGTGCAGTAGGAGGTGGGTGCAGCAGGAGGTGGAGGTGGGTGTAGTAGGAGATGGAGGTGGGTGTAGTAGGAGGTGGAGGTGGGTATAGTAGGAGGTGGGTGCAGTAGGAGGTGGGTGCAGTTGCAGGTGGGTGTAGTAGGAGGTGGAGGTAGGTATAGTAGCAGGTGGGTGTAGTAGGAGGTGGGTGTAGTAGGAGGTGGAGGTGGGTGTAGTAGCAGGTGGGTGCAGTAGGAGGTGGGTGCAGTAGGAGGTGGAGGTGGGTGTAGTAGGAAGTGGGTACACTAGGAGGTGGGTGTAGTTGCAGGTGGGTGTACTAGGAGGTGGGTGTAGTAAGAGGTGGGTACACTAGGAGGTGGGTGTAGTAGCAGGTGGGTGTAGTAGGAGGGAGTTGTAAGTAATAAAACAGTTCAATACAGTGGCTCTGCCACTAACTAACTGTAGCCTTGAGCAAGAATCTCTCCGGGCCTATTTCCTCATCTGTAATGATGGTACTTCAAGGGTTCTTATGAGGATTCGATCCCATGTGCAAAGTGACCAGCATGATGCTGCTTACGTACTAAGTCATTAATGCTATATGCACACACACGTATATACAGATTGCTAAAGCAGGAGCAGAGCTGGGGTTTATGTGAAGGGAAGTAAGCCATATTTTCTAAAAGGAGGCCCTAGGTAAGAGATAGCAAAATGGCCCTACCCATCAATAATAAGAGATTCATAGGGAGCCTTCTTGTCACACACGGGACATGTCCACGTTGGCTTCTTCTCATTCATCTGTAGGTAAAGGGCAGCATCGAAGCTCTGCAGGTGGGCACAGGTGAGGGCACGACATGGGACAGTCAGGCGCATCTTCCCTAGCTGAGGAGAGGAGAGTTCTGTAGTCAGAGCCCCAACTCTGGTTTAATTTAAAAAAAAAATCAATCTAGTATCCCTAGTAACCCCTGTCAAAAACCAGAGGTTTAACCCAACCATCCTCCCTCTTCCCTTCTCCCCTTGTACCCACCGGGCACATGAGTGATACACGGAGACTCGTAGTAGCCACTTCACTGTCAGGGTCAGCGGTCAATTTCTCCTTTACTGAAACAAGAGTGAGGCCACAGCCATGGGGTCAGCAAGGGTCGGGGAAACCCAGGAATTAGCGAATCCGGAAGCAGACAGCCCTGGCTGAAAGGCGGCTGAGTAGATAGACTTTGGAGACTGATGGGATGTCACATGACGTGGTTTGGGATCTGGAAAGGCTGTGTGGGAGAAACGTTTACCCAATCCTGAAGAGGCTCAACAGAGCTAGGTGACACTTTGGCTGTCAGAGATGCCTCACTGAGGCGTCATGTGAGTTACATCAGTGCTCCTAAGACTCTCTCTAGCCCAAAGAACCCATACCCTATCAGGGTGGAGTTAGAACTGTGAGGAGCAAAGCAGATGTGTGACTGGAACACACTGATTGTCATTCATTGCCTGGGAGTGATCCAACCTCTTAACCATGAAGACTGGCCAGGTGTTGGGGAAAGGTTTGGGATTCACATGAGTGAAGCAGTCACACATGAGCCAGGGGTTTCATTATGAAGGCCAAGGGCCAACAGACTTGGAGCTGGACCAGAGGCAAAGGATGGTACTCACTCAGTGCCCGGGAGTGGTCTGGGTTCCGGATACCCTTTGCTCTGAGTTTCTGTAGAAGAGTTCCTGCAGTCAACTGCCTCACGAGGTACACAGACAAGGAGTAATTCTACTTGGGGTGGACAGAAAGAATTAGCTTCTGCTTCTGTGTCCCATGCAGATCAGGGACCAGGATGGCTCCCAGCACCCCTGACAGCCCTTTCCAGGAACCCTGTTTCAGCCGCACTCACCCGTCCAAATTCAGACGACCAGTTGACCACAACGGTGTTGGGAGCAGTGGCTGAGAGCCTGGCCAGCGGCGTGATGTTGATGGGGCGGCTGGGCCTCTTGGGCTCAGCCCCGTTCTTGGTGGGGGGAAGGTA